ACTGGGTTTTTGTGTGTGTTTTTTCCAGTTAGCAAATAAATTTGATTCTCTTCCTTTAGGATGGGGTATCTAGAAACCATTTTTTTTTACTTAAAAAATTGACATATGTCTTCCCTGCCTCCCCCAATTCATTATTGAGCATAATATCAAGCATAATACAACAGTAAGATCCTTATCCAACCAGTAAATCCAGTGGCTTGACTTTGTTATAGCTCTGTGTAAAATGATTTCAGATTCATTAGTTTTGGTATATAGAAGAAATTAACATGCATTGTGGCTAAAGGAAGAATGGATGATTTATTGATCTATTGATCGCACACTGGTGCTCTGCGCTATATATTTTCAATACAACACAATGCATCTATTAGGCAGAGTCTCATTTTCTGTTGCATCACTTCAGAGGTGTTGCTGGAACCTTAAAAAAAACCTATGAGACTATCTTCTGCATAATGTCACATCTGCTAATTTGCATGTATCAATGCCAATTTAGGCCTACTTTCAGAGGGACAAAACAAACACTGGCTCTCGATGTCAGGGCTTACTCTGAGCTAACAGGATTCTCTGAGCCCAGTGCAGGAAATGTAGATTAAAGTTCTCCACTCCAACACAGGAACACAGAATACTGCCTATCCATCTAGCTTGATACTATCAACACTGAGTGGCAGCAGGTTTCTGGGGATTCAAGCAGGAGACATTTGAAGCCCTACATGGAGATGCTGGGGATCAAACCGGGGACTTTCTGCATGCTTATGTATATATTAAAGCTAAATCAGGTCCTCCCTTAAAGAGGGCACGTATTGCGGTGAGACCTGGAAACTGACACCCTGTGTTGTGGGTGGGTACGATTGGTCAGCCACAACACCTGATTAGCACCCTTGTAGCTGGGTGCAATCTGGCCAATGGGACGCAGTCCAAATGGTTTGAGGGACCTATTTATACCAATGCATGTGACCCAGAGCTTCCTCTTTCGGTACGTGCATTCGGAACACCTGCCCACCTCTCCCTACTTTTAGGGTTTTGTGCTTGACCTTGCTATGCCGTCATCTGTCGTTGGGACAGGGGCACGGCAGAAATTTCCCCCACTTGGCTGATTGGCTGGTTGCGGATAGGCTCTGGTTCAGGTGACAGGGATGGGAGAAAGCTCTTGTCATCCCTATGTGAAGGGTATTTCATTAAAGGAATTCAGGGACTTGATGGTTTGGTCAACCCTTGTGAGGGGGTTGTGCCCGTGCCTGAGTCCAGGGGGACAGTTGGGTGGCGGAGATAGCCTGTTCCCAGCTCTCCACTTATCCAGGTGTTCACCCTCGGCTGACCTAGGCTGGAACCCTGGGTCAGCGCTACCTGCATGGCAGGGAGCTAGTCAAACCAGAGCCTATGCAACCATTCACTTTTCTGTAATCAATAAAGTTGTGGCCTAAATTCTGCCAAAAAACCTAAATTTGAGTCAAATGTGAATTTATTTAGGGGGAGGTTTCTGGGTCTGAACACGCAAAAGAGGTCTTGTCAAACATCTAACATGACTTTGCTCTTACACACCCTTTCACATATGCATCTCCTTTCCCACTCCATCCAGCTATTGCATGAGCCTCTGGGAAAATTAAGATGGTGGCTAGTCCTCATTCGCACTGTACTTTGCAGTGTGTCCAGTCACTCTATAAGGAAAGTGTTTGTTTGGGTTAAAAAGTTTTATGGGGTGGGGGAAGGGATGAAAAGGAAATCTGGAGCCCAACAGAAAAGAATTGGAGCCCCCTGGGCTACCACTTAACAATATCAGTGCATGGGCTAATTTCTTGCCACATCTGGATTTGCTGGGTTTAGAACCAGGTACCTGCAGATCTGTAGAGCAGTGGCTCTATGCAATGAGCTACTGTGACTGCAGGCTGGAGTGCTTGCTAGGATTTTAAACTGGGCTGTATATAGGCTCCAGAGGGACTATGCCCACAAAGGTTTCCAAGTCCATCTGGGAATTTGCCTGGGGACCAATATTATCTGCTTTGTCTGCTGTGTGACATCCATTTTCCAACTCTCACCCTAAGAACCCAAACACAGTCTAAGACCATCCAAAACTTGCATGCATGCAGGGAACCAATTACACATGACACAAAAAAGCCACCCGTCTTGAACCACCTCTAGCGTTATGAAACAGGCTGGATCCTTTTACAGGTTCAGCCAAAAACAGAATCCTTCGGTCTTGTCTTTTCAAGCACTAGGCCATATCCCTTACCATCCCAGCTCTGCATCTTCCTCAAGTGGCTGGCTGGAATGTGTCTTTGAACTGTGATAATGTCCCTTGCTTGCCCACATGGGGAGATGTACAAAGGTACAAGCCAGGTACATTGCTCCATGCACTTTTTCCTCCGGCACCACCCACCACTGGCACCCGCAGAAGATTGCTCATGAAGGAATGCAACCCACAGGCTGCAAAGATTCCCCACCAGTGACTGCAGCATACTTAACATACTCGTTAGTCCAGTTCTGCCAGGCTCCTTTCATAGATAAGAAGCGGCAAGAAGAAGAAGAGGAGGAAGAAGAAGAAGAAGAGGGAGAAGAAGAGGAAGAAGAAGAAAGAAAGGAAGGAAGGAAGGAAGGAAGGAAGGAAGGAAGGAAGGAAGGAAGGAAGGAAGGAAGGAAGGGCTATATAAAATCTCCAGACAGATGACGCTTTCAGCTAGATATGCCACAACCATAAGCAATGAAAGACTACATATAGGAAGTTCTATAAGAAATTATTTCTTCAGGCCATTTACTGGGTTTCGATCCAAAAGCCACTTTTCTTATATATGTTGCAGTGTGGAGCAGAGGGCTGCATGGTTCAGAGGAGAGGAAAAGACAGAGCTTTCTACTTCCACACTACTGGTTCAAATCTAAAACCTTCCTGAATTACTGCCATTACTGCTGCTGTCTCTCCACTTCCACTCAGTAACCTTCTAATGCTGGCCACTGCTTGATAAGTGGAATCCATGGGAGTGAAAGGGAATCTGACAATCTTCCCCAGGGTTGGATGTGTGTGACTGAGACAGTCCATTGACCTGTTACTAATTGCCTCATTATTGGTGCCACTTTGTAGATTTCCAGGGCCAGGTGCAAACCAAGGCATAGCAAAAGCAGGGAATGTTCCACAGCCTCTGTACTAAGTGTTTCCCATTGCCCAGAGGATCAACACATGAAAGGCTGGTTCATACATAAGATCCACACACATGTTCCCTCCCATGCAAGTGAGGACAATTCAGGTGGCCCATTCAAGTCCTGCAGATCAACTTCAAATAACATGCCTCTGCAAGAGTTGACCTATAGAATGAGGACAGTTCCCCGCCCATACATTACACTGCTCATAAACCACACTTGTACAGTTGAAAGTGCAAGAAACTGAAGGGGTATATAACACACGGATTGTCCTAAACATCTGACAGATGTCATAAGGTTGGGGAAAGGGTCTATTTCAGCTTGCATTTAGTGGAGAGCGGTAAGAAAGTAAGAGGAGATTTTGTCAATCTTTGTTCAGCTCCGTGTGCATTGATAAATGAAGCAGACTACAAAATCAAATCAAGTCATGTCTTAGAGCTTGTTCATGTATGTAGATAAATTACCTAATTTCACTGTAAAGGCAAAGGTAAAGGGACCCCTGACCATTAGGTCCAGTCGTGACCGACTCTGGGGTTGTGGCGCTCATCTTGCTTTATTGACCGAGGGAGCTGGCGTACAGCTTCCGGGTCATGTGGCCAGGAGGACTATGCCGCTTCTGGCGAACCAGAGCAGCGCACGGAAACGCATTTTACCTTCCCACCGGAGTGGTACCTATTTATCTACTTGCACTTTGACGTGCTTTCCAACTGCTAGGTGGGCAGGAGCTGGGACCGAGCAATGGGAACACACTCCATCGCGGGGATTCGAACCACCAACCTTCTGATCGGCAAGTCCTAGGCTCTGTGGTTTAACCCACAGTGCCACCCATGTCCCAATTTCTCTGTACACTTGGACTAATAAATCCAATGCAATAGGAACCTGGCTTATACCAAGCCAGATCATTGGTACATCTACATGAGCATTGTCTACACCAGAACTTTCCAAACTGTGTGTCACAACACAGTAGTGTGTTGGCTGCAGTGTGTAGGTGTGTCGCATGTACGCTCCCCATACTCTTCCTGGGGCTGGAAAGGGTTGATTTAACCTCTGGTTTGCTAATAAAGCTGAATTACTGTGTCACAAAATGACGCATGTCCAAAAAGTGTGTCATCAACTCGAAAAGGTTGGAAAGCTTTAGTCTACACTATAATTTACACTGTACAATATATGGGTGGTATACAAATGTGATTAGAATGCAGATTGTAGCCTAGTGACAGGCAGCAGCTCTCATGAATTTCAGACACTGTGATCTCCCAGTGATGTATGCTCTAGTTATCTCCCGCTTGGACTACTGCAATGTGCTCTACATGGGGCTACCTTTGAAGTTGACCCAGAAACTACAACTAAACGAGAATGAGGCAGCTAAACTGGTGACTGGGAGTAGCCACCGAGACCATATAAGACCAGTCCTGAATGATCTACATGGGCTCCCAGTACATTTCTGGGCACAATTCAAAGTGTTGGTGCTGACCTTTAAAGCCCTAAACGGCCTTGGCCCAGTATACCTGAAGGAGCGTCTCCACCTCTGTCATTCAGACACTGAGGTCCAGCTCCGAGGGCCTTCTGGCAATTCTCTCACTGTGAGAAGTGAAGCTACAGGGAACCAGGCAGAGGGCCTTCTCAGTAGTGGCACCCACCCTGTGAAACGCCCTCCCATCGGATGTCAAGGAAATAAACAACTATCTGACTTTTAGAAGACATCTGAAGGGAGCCCTGTTTAGGGAAGTTTTTAATGTTTGATCTTGTATTGTGTTTTTAATGTTCTGTTGGGAGCTGCCCAGAGTGGCTGGGGAACCCAGCCAGATGGGCGGGGTATAAATAATAAATTATTATTATTAAATTATTATTTAATAATAATCCCCTATCTATCTATCCCCTGGAGACGTTGGGGATAGAACCTGGGAACTTCTGCATGCAAAGCAGACACTCTACCGCTGAGCTGCAGCCTTCCCCCAGGTTTGTGGCATTCTATGAAATGACATAACCTCATAACTCCCAGAAAATCCCCACCCACCCACCCCCCAAAAAATCAGGGTCATCCAGAGAAGTATTCTGGAAGGTTACAAAGGGCTGTCATCAGACATAAAAACCAGCCACCCTGTGATGCGTGAGGAGGAAAATAATAATAATAATAATAATAATAATAATAATGATGATGATGATGTCACTCATGGACTCTCCAGTTCCTGGTCAATAATTCTGCACCTACACAACTGCTATGAACAAACGGACGTTCTTACGCAACTCACTGTGAATGGAGGTGGTCTCCTCCATCCTGCTTTTGCTACCAGTTCCTTTCAAAGAGTTGACAGAATCAATGCATTTATACGATACAGTATATTTGTACTAGTTAAGCAAAAACCGCTCACCCACTGCATTTGAAGTGACAATCCTTCCTCCTTCTGATCAGTTGAACATGTTACCGCCATATGGCATTCCATAATCAACGGCAAAGTTCTACTTCAAGCTCAGCACTGCATTTATAATATTATTGTATGCAGCACAAACACCAATATTTAGGAAGAAAAATGTCCTTTTTATTGGACTCCTGCTGATATCCCAGCTGTTAGCTGGCGCATGCATAGTTCCTCTCTCTTTCTCTCTCTTTCATTTTTATACAAAAAAGCCCAAAGCACTTATTTATTTATTTTTGCAAAAGAAAAGTGGAGGGGGGGAGAGTATTACATCTGAAAGGTACATTTTGCCCTGCCCCAGTAGGTCTCTATAACTATGCTAAAATGATTTTTTTATTAGATGAATTGCATCATTAAATTACATTATAAAAACTAAAAATGCACCATTAATTTTCAAAAACAATAGTAAATACATCTCATTTCTGATACATGATTCTGCATTTAATTTTTGCCCTAGGCCATGTTTTTTCTCTCTCTCCAACAGCCATACTATACTGTCTCCCATTATGCAGACTATACAAATAGAGCTAAATTGCCCAAGAGTGGGTGGGGGGGTGTTTTTTTGTTGCTGCTGCTGTTCTTGTTGCCAAATGTCTGTAATGTGAAAATAAATGAATTTCTAATCGGCTGTTGCAAAAAGAAAAATTACTTTTTGATCTCGGCTCAGCCAAGCAAGAATCTACCTACCTTGTTATAATAGGATGGTAGGCCAGTATACAGGGCGAAGAGAGACAAAGGCTAGACAGAGACAGACATGGCAGTAAATTAGGTTAGCACATTTCAGTTCTATATGAGTGGCGTTTCTTAATTAAATATATACAAGTTCCATTGAACTATATAGTCTCATTGCTGGAGGGTCTTCCCATTTAATGTAGCATTGGTTCTAAACAGCCATAGATCACATTGCTCTTTTGCTTCGTTCTTTTTCGTTATAAACGCAACGTGCCCCTTCCATTGGAAGGAAAAAGCTGATAAATCAAAGGAAATGGGGAGGAAACGTGCATGCAAAACTTTTGACTTTTAATCAGGCAAAAATAAATGTTTAAGCAATGTACGTCTGGTTATAGTTTGGGCTTGTCAATTGCATTGCTATCCGCTCAGGGGAAACGCCAAGATTCAGTCTAATATTATGAGACTGCACAGATGTAATGTTAAGTAATTACGGGTCTTCAGAAAATGACTTCTGGCCCACATTTTTTAAATGTGCTGCAACATCACACTATCTGCGCAAACTCCTCTGCCTGGCTCACAGTTCTTCGCGTGTCGAGGTCCCCAGGGCCACCCCAAATAACTCACACATCACACCAAAATTTTAGTTTAAGGTTTTGGCATAATTTTGGCCACAACTTTATTAAAATATAAACATGTGAGTGGTTGCTTAGGCATTGGTTGCGACTAGCTGCCCCCACCATGGGGGACAGTCTGACATTCCGCACGCATGTGAAAGTCAGAAAAGGGGAATACACTTGGGGGTAGCGACAGAGCAGGGAACCTGCCCTCAGCCCTCCCCAAATGCAGCCAGGAGCTCTTGCAGTGGCCCGATTTTTTTGTCCCATATTTGTTGCTCCGTAGCCCATCTGAAAAGCAGCATTGTGAAAGCATTGGGGCAGCCTGGCAGAATCAACTAAGGCAGAATAAATCCACCATTAATCCCAAATCCATGTGGCAAAATCCATCCAGAATGAAACGCCAGTTTGGGGTTGGGGCCCTGAAATGGGAGAGATCAGGCTATGCAGATGCTTAACTTTCTCCCACCAGCAGGACTTAAGAGCTCTTAACCGTGGCTGGATTATTTTAATGAATGGAAAGTTACATCTTTGATTATTTATAATGTTTATAGAGCATGTCAGTGCAAACTGCGTCATCTCATTTATCCTCGTAGCAGGTGAAGTTATGCCAGAAATGGCTGGACTCTTTGGAAAGGCTGGGCATGTACTGACAGGAATTCCAGGATCTGAACCAAAAACGTCAACTGGAACCTACCCTAAGAAGCCACCTGGACACTCTTGGTGGTTAACTGATCCTTGGCACAAATGTTCCCTAAGCCTAATAGAGTTGGGTTGCTGCCAATAACATTTTATGCAGAATTATAGAAATGTCAGGGAGAATGCAATACTGCCCAGTCTTGGTAAAGCGAATCCATTGATTGCTTGGGATGATGCAGGTCCCACAAACAATCCGGGATAAAGGGAGAGGACAGGCAGGAAACAGGCAGGAGAGGTTTAAGCAAGGTTAGGCTTCCAGAAAACAAGGGCAGTCAGAGGCAGGTCTTTCAGGATACCAGACGGAGCCCAGGAAGCCCACAGCTTGCTCAGACAAGAGCTCCATCTCAACCTTCATTCCCTCTAGGCATGACTACCCTTCTCAGGCTCTGCAGAGGCCTAGCATCCCATTCCTACTCCACATTCTCTTGTGACGTGCCGCTACCTGCATTGGCAAGCAAGATCGGTGGAGAGTTTGGCTTGGCAGATCACAGACTGAGCAGGGCTAAGGAACAAGCATGATCATTCAGGAATTAAAGAACCCCAAAACCCACCATATTTGCATCATTAATTCGTTGTAATCAATGGACTGTTCCAGTGGTGGGGAACCTTTTTCAGTCCAAGGCCCCTTCTAGGCCATGTGTTAGTGGTAGACAGGGCCAAAGACCAAAATTGGCAGACCCTCCAAGTGTCCCTGTTTTCCAGGGACAATCCCAGATTTACAGAAGCCATCCCGGTTTCTGATTTGATCCCAGAATGTCTTGATTTTCCTTAGGACATCCCTATTTTCATCAGAGAAATGTTGGAGGGTGTGGAGTTATGTGACCAGCGATCCAAGGAGATAAGTAACTGTGCAACCTTTAGAAGATATCTGAAGGCAGCCCTTTATGGGGAAGTTTTTTAAATGTTTGATGTTTTATTATGTTTTTATATATGTTGGAAGCCGCCCAAAGTATCTGGGGCAACCAAGTCAGCTGGGCGGGGTATAAATAATAAAACTGCTATTATGGAATTGGATGTCCCTGTTTTTGTCGGAGAAATGTTGGAGAGTATGAAATTGGTGGAGCCACATGTAAATTTTACCTTCTACAGCAAACTAGTGTCCACACACACACACTTCTAGCCTCCACCTAGGTTAGCACGAGGCATTATCAGAACTCATAGATACATTCCAGCCTGGCAAAAATATTCAGGGTGCAAAGCAGGGCCAGCGAGGGTGGTAACCTGAGGACTGGCCTCATGTGCCTAGACCAGAGATTGACATGCACACGATGCTCTCCCTTCCCTGAATTCATTTGTCCCCATGCTCAGAGGTTTATTCATAATGTATTAAATTGTTTGTTGTACTATTGGCAAATCAGACCTTGGAATCTTTTGCTACATCTCCAGCTTCCTGAACTGCTGATTTAGTTTTAAGAAACCTCGTCTATTTTTAGAAGGCATATTAATTACCCCTAAGCAGGTGCAAATTTCACCACATGGCTCCCTCCCCATTCTGTTTATTATTATTTCCTTGCCTCCTTAATGGCAGTTGCGAGCAAATAAATCCAGCTAATGCAATAAAAGGATTTATTGTCGCCCAAATTTACACCAGCAGTTTAATCATAACACCTTTTCATCTGACAGACTTTTTCGAGAACAATTTGCCCCACAATTTGTCAGCGGGAAAATGGCCTTGTATAAAACGCCAGGAGGAAATGAATGCTAATATGCACCACCACCAGTCTTTCATTCTTCTAATTGCCCAGGGAATTTAAAGGAGACAGACTTATTTACTCACAGTAGGAAGTGTGCTGCAATAAATTATCACTATTATGGGCCTAAATAAGTCCCTGACATCGACAGAACAGGCTGGGAAGGAAGACGAAGTCCTGGAAATTTACATGCTAGTAAATGGGTGGTTGAGCTCATGTATCTCTGTGTGTTGATAAGAAGAACACCAAGGTGTCCATCCACAGTACCTGTAAGACATTTTCTGCATTTCAAAATGATGGCCACTTAGGGCTGAAGCATTTCTAAAGGGGAAAGTGACAGAGCATGTAATTTTAGCTCCACACTTTCCCTTCCCACCAACCACTCTGGCCCTGATGAAATACACACAAAGTCACATCTACATTGGTGATTTAAATTGGCTGGCACCACCCAGGAAAGAAATCTGAGAATCTCAGCATAATAAAGATGGAGGAGTAATTTGCTTCAGTGCACATTTAAAGGCGAATCTACGTAATTCGCACATTCCAAAGCAGCATGCGACCCGAAATACAGCTATCCTTTTGCAAAATTCGCATTTCTTCAGATTGCCGTTCTGCAGCCAAGTAATGTGTACAAAAAGGCACTCAGTAGAGTAGGTGTGGTGAATCTTTGGGCCTCCAGGTGCTGCTGAACTACAACAAGTTTTTAATATTTAATGCTGTATTGGTTTTAACACTTGATTGGGAGCCACCAAGAGTGGCTGGGGAAACTCAGCTGGATGGGTGGGGTATAAATAATTTATCATCATCATCATCCCTGGCCATTTGGCATGCTTGCTGGGGCTGATGGAAGTTG